GATTAGGCCATGATTGTTGAACAATTGGTAATAACGACTGCCTTCTACAAACTTAAAACAATAAGTAAACAAACTGTTTTTGCGTAATGATCGTCCTTAGCTTTTGTCGAAATCTTTTTTGGGTCAGACCATTGATTTTTGGATGATTATTCTTCTTTCAGATTCTATTCTATCGTCGTTTTGCCTGTTTGTTTTCATTTATGCTACAGAGAAAGCTTAGACGTAAAAGACCACCCTCAGATATATCTGAGGGTGGTCCTTGGAACTTCTCTGATCCTATCTAAGGATGGTTCTTGTAGCTTTTCTGGGTCCACACAATCCTGAAAAGTTACAAAGATGATGCCTGGAAAGATCCAGAAAAGTTATAAGGACTACCTCTAGATAGGTCTTCAAACGTTAAAGATGCCGTATAAAATTACCAATCGATCTGTTCGAGCAGATCTTCTGCTCATTTAATCTCGAACTGTACCATGTCTTAACAGGAGCTCAAGGAATGGGAGATTCGCATTTTTCCAGTAAGATTTTCGCCAACAAAGCCCTAAAATTTCGCCACTTGGTGAAAATGTACTGCGATCTCGTTAGCACCTCCTCTAAAATTTCGATACATTGTCTGAGAAGAAAGACCTTTCATAACTGCTCAAATATAATTGTGAATCAGACATGGATTAAATAAGTTCCTATTGACTACATTGATTAGTACAAGCTATGTTGTATTTATCCTAATACCGTTAACCTCAAGGCGTCATATGTATTCTAGGTAGATATTATTTAGACACAGTTGGTGAAGTTCTGACAACTCGTTCAAGGAGAAGGGTCGGGTCCGACCGAAGCGGACACTTTCAAACAGGAGGGAGAGAATGTCCAACAACGCGATTTTATACCAGACATCTTTTATGGATATCTTCTAATAATTTATTCTTATCGTGATAAACTGGTGTACTTGTCTTTAATTCAAATTCTTTAAAAATCTTCTTTTCTCTGAATATGTCAAATAACGATGATAAATTCTTATTTTCAATTGAAACTTTTGATTCGATTAAGATATCGAAAATTTTTGTAATGAATGTTAAACTATCTGGTTTATTTTTAAATAAGTCACTTAAATGAGTTTCATAATTGGTTGACTCATTAATTAAGAAATCATTGTGTTTTATAAAATCATTAATATTGAATAATTCAAAATCCTTGATACCTCTCGAACCGATAAAATTAATTATTTCATTAAATTTGAACATTTTCTGATCAATCAATTCTTTACTTCCATATTCTAAGCAAATTTCATCTATGAATGTATCAATATCGAATTGTTTAATTTTGTTTTTTGTTCGCATTAATGACTTTTTCTTCTCTTTTAATTTGTTTAGGTCTTGAAAATATTGACTCAATACGAATGGTTTATGTTGTTCTCTTTCTGAATTATATAAAACACTTTCATAATTATTAGTTAATAACGATAAGTCTTGATTTAATAAAAGTTCATTATTTTCATTTGATTCGATTACATTTAATCTTGATAAATTTAATTTCTTTCTTTTGTTGTTATCAATAATGTATGTACTTTGTAAAACTTTGAACACCAATTCTAAATAGAATACGTTTTCCCTTCAGTTTTAATGATCTTATATCTTCTTTTGTTTTTTCTAAATCTTCGCTTAATTGTTTTTCTAATTCACTTACTTTTGACTTGTAATGTGTTCTTAAATTCTCAATATTATGATCATGGTTTTTAAACTGAATATATTTTTTTTCATTTTCATCAAATTTTAATTGAATTACTGATTGATCACATTTATTATCATTATTATCAGATGTTTTTAAAATATTATTTTCTATTTTTGATTTGATTTTAGTCTCATTTAATACCAATGATTGTTGAACAATTTTATACGAATTTTCAATGAATGAATTTGATAATTGATGTGTTTTGATTTTTGATTCACGTTCATCTAAAATCTCGATCATTTGATCTTTCAATAAATTCATTGAACTTGTTATATTATTTGAAGTATTATTCGTTTCTTCATTATTATTGTTTATAACTGCATTTAATTGACCTTTAATTTGTTGTTCGTTGAATTTTTCTTTTTCTTCACGTTTGTTATGAACTTTTCCAGAACGTAATTGTAAATCAGCTGATTTTCCATTAATATTGTCAATTCCATCTCTTTTTTTAGACTTTTTTTTAAAAACAAATTTAACATCAAGCGTGAATAATGTTTTTTTGATCTTGAGTATTTCAATATGTCCTTCATATTTCTTATTTCTTGTGAAACTATGATATTTGTGGTAGAGAACATCCGTTCCATCATATCCTCCAGTACCACCTTTGCCACCTTCACCAGGTGATCCATCGCCTCCACTTATATTAGATTTATCCTTTGATTCAATTATTTTCGAAAATGTCTCAGCAATTAAGTTTTGATTTTCTTCAATATGAATAACAGCAGCATATCCACCAAATCCACCTAAACCAACATCACTTCCTATACCACCATCTCCGCCTCGTGTTCCTGGTTGTCCTCCTGTTAAATTGTACCATGCTCCATCCTACCGAATCTTTTTCAGTAGCATTTTCACCATCCTTTCCATTAAAACCATTACCATCCTTACCACCATCACCTCCTGATGTTATTAATTTTTCTATATTAATTTTTTCTCTAAATTCCTTATTTGCAATTAAATAGATATTTCCACCATTTTCTCCAGCTTCGCCATTTTCACCAGATGAACCATCAAGGCCAGATTCACTTTCTCTTGTTGCATGTGGTTGATGTGTAGCATTTTTACCATCTGCACCTTTTCTACCACTAACATTTATTGTTATTTTATTATCTAATTCATCTTTAACAAAATCAATTACATCTGAACCAATAGTCAAATTAATTCCATGCCATAATTCATTACTTAATGATGTATTCATAAAGATACTTTTACCATAAAGTCTTACTTCTTTAATATTTGATTCTTTTACATTTTTTTCAAAATTTTCAATTATATCATTTGAGAAAATATTATAACTTTGAACGGTAAGAATTGTACCATCTATATTCATGTCAGGTTTAGATAATGAATCTTCAATAATTGAGAGAAGAAGAAAAGGAATTCCATTTTCATGATTATTTTTCAAATATTCAAAGAAAAGTCCTTCATTCATATCACTGAATTGTAAATTAATATTAAAACAATGAGATGAGATTATCTGCTTTAATTTATCATCTATTTCATAATTTGATGATATGATTCCATTTAATTATTTTCTTCTTTCTGATTTTGGCGAGACATTTTCATAAATACTTAAACTTTTTATAATGTCTTCTGTTAATTTATTTAATAAATTATAATCTTTTTGTTTATTTTCATTTTGTTCAATCAGATCATCAATTAATTCTAATGCTGATTTATGTTGTTCGTCTTTTTCTTTTTTATGTTGTTCAATTGATTTACAGAATAATCCTTTGTAATAATTAAATGTATCTTTGAAATCAATATTATAATCAAGATCAGCAATTAATGACCAAAAATGAAAACAATGTTCATCATAATGTTTTTATTTTAAGAAATAAACAACTTCTTCAATGAATATTTTCATGTTTTCGCATTCACCAATTCACTTTAAAAACATTTCAATGTTTTTATTTTCATTATTCTTTGTTAATATATTTTTACTTATCTCATCATTTAAAAAATTCGAACAAAGTGATTTCAAATCAGCAGCATTTGCATCATCAAGTGTTATTAAAATAGTTAATAACATATGATGCTTAACTTGTTTTGTAGTTATATAATTATCTGACATTGCACCTTTTAATAAAATAATCGGTGTTTCATCATTTTTATAAGAAAACTCAGTAGAATTATTGCCATCTTCAATAAATAAACATTTGAGTTCTGTGTTAAACTTCTTATTAAAGGACGAGGGAGGATAAGCGATTGTCGAGCACCCCAATAAAACTCAATGAAACTTATATATTTGGAAGGAGCGTAAAATTCTGAGTATTTCAGCCGTCTCACTTTTCCAAAAATCGCATTTTGATTTTTATCGAAAATTTTAAGGGCAAAGGTCCCACCTTGGAACATCGAAAAAATTATTTCCTCTAAAATTTTCGAAACACACCTTTTCTGACTCAGAATTCTGTGCTGATCACGAATATGGGATCTGAAGTTAGAAAAAGTAAACATTTCGTGGAGTCGAATGCCAAAAACTGAAGGTTGGTCAAGGTCAGTCCATTTGATAGTTTGCAGGTTTTCACCAAGAAAGAGTCATTCAAAAACTTGAAACTAAACAGTTATTGGTGAAAATAGTTGCTCTATCTAAATACGTAAACAAAAATGTAGTGTGAGCGTATTTTGAGCAAAAATATTAAGAAACAGAGGAAAAATAGTCAAAAATTGGCCAATAATTAGTGCTTTCAAGAACGTTCCACACCATTTTCGATTTTTATTTTAGTACCAGTGAATAGAGCGTAAAAAACTACGTCTAGCATGTAAGTATGACATTGGTTCAAGATTTCGTTTGAAATGCAGAGGCGACACAGTGAATGATTGTGGCCGATTTTTGGACTATTTTGAGCAAAAATATTAAGAAAAAGAGGAAAAATCGGCCACAATCCTTCACTGTGTCGCCCCTGCATTCCAAACGAAATCTTGAATCAATGCCACACTTACATGCATGACGCAGTTTTTCGATAAAAATCAAAATGCGATTGTTGGAAAAGTGAGACGGCTAAAATACTCAGAATTTTACGCTGATTCCGAATATGTAAGTTTCATTGAGTTTTATTGGTCGGGTTCTTGAAGGAAAAAGATGAAATTCATGTGAAGAAACATCAAGTTCCTATCTGAAAGAGATGAAGTTCTCGTGAAGACACTTCAGGGTCTTGGACGAAAAAGATGAAGTTCTTGTGCTATCTAACCATGCCCAAAAAAGCGAAAAAAATTTGATAATCTAGATAATTCACAAATCTGTCAGCTACATTTCCTTATTACTAACTATATAAAAAATACTAAACGTTTTTGAACCCCAAACAGTCTCCTAATCTGTCTACATTATGCCATATTTACCCTTCTCCTCTTCAGTTCTTGTTCTTTTTCTTTGCTTTTTCCTGATTTTGCTTTTATTGTTATACTTTTACCTTCTTATTTTCTTCTTTCTAGTCGTTTACTTATTGTATGTATATCGCGTGCGTGTATTCTTTGTACATGTTTTTTATCTAACCGTGCTAGAAAATGAATGTGTCTGTGTCAATCTGTCTCTTTCTTTAACTATATATCAGTGTACATTTGCAACTTTTTATTTTATAGAGCAGTCAAAATGATCTCATGGGTTTTTTTGGCCTCTTTCTTTTTGTTCTGTTTATGTGTCTATCCAGTAGTTGCTGTTACTTACTCATCTTTTATTTCGGTTACAAACATTTGTTTAAATACTTTTTTTCTACGGTTTTGTCTGATAAATTCTTATGCAGAATTTTTGTCTACTTTCTAATATTATAAACAATCAATAAATCCTCTTTTTTCTCTGATGCAATCATATAATTACATCATCATACCAAATGTTTATCATTTAGATAGCAATAACACATCCTTCAGTATCAACCGTTGAAACATTACATGTAGTCGACGAACTTGTGAAGATATTTTCGGATGATTATCCGGAGAAAGAAAAACTGAAAAGTTTAATTTCGACGATCGCATCAGCACGACTTTTATTTGTAGAATTACGGAACGTGATTGAAAAATATAAAAAACTAGGTGGAAATATAGATAAACAAACTAATTTTCTGAGTCAATTAAAAAACCTTAAAAATTTAATTAAAGATAATGCAAGAAAGTCCACACAAAATGATGGTATAGTTACAATAATTAATGATTATTTATCAGCAACACGAGAAGATTATACATCAGTTTGAGATTATGTTCAATCTTTAGAAGAAATAAATAAAGAAATTGAAGATCAAATTCCAGATGAAAAGAATAAAAATAAAATTGGCGATTTAATTATTCGAGGTGTTGAAAAGAAAATACCAAATTTTATTTATTTCGATCAAACAGATTTTAATGATAACAAGAAGAAATCAGAAATCATCAAGAAATTTTATACTTATTTTATTAACTACGTATCGTACATTAGAGAAACATTGGAAGATATGTTCAATGATAATGCATATCGTTTGAAATTAAATAGCTTACAATCAAAATTATTGAAAACGAAATACGTTGATATTACAGATTATTTTTCATTAATAACATCAAAAATAATATCCGATAATCGAGGCTATTCACATGAGATATTATTGGAAAAGCTAGCTGAAAATGAAATGGTTTACAAAAGTATTGCAGATAATTCTAATGTTTATTACAAAAATTTTATTAAAATATTTCAAAATTCAAAAAAAGTCGATCAAAAATGTATTGAATCATTAACTAAGTTAATATTTAAATTAAATCAAGACAGTTTTATAAATTTAAATAAAGAAGTATTTCGACTCAAATTATCAATTAAATTAGTCTTCAAACCAATTTATGACAAAGGTATTGAATTATATGTAACTGAATTTGATTCTTTCAAACCAACTGCATCGAAAAACCGCAATGAATTGAAAGAAAAATTTGCTCGTTTATTTACGGTCATATCAACAGAAACGGAATACTCTCATATTCTAAGCTTATTAAGAGATTCAGTGATCGATGAAAAGAATGCAAATGGTACTTATAAGGTATTAAGTGATATCTATGGTCAACGTATTAAAAATTTAAGTTTAATTAAAACCGACGTGTCGGATTCAGGTAAATCGATTATCAAGAAACAAGTACAAAATACAGAAAAATCCGATGGTAAAGGATTTTCGGATGATATTATCAATGTGAAATATTGTTTTAATAAGTATTTCTTTAAATCTCTAAAATATGAATATTTAAATGATATCAATGGATTTCCTATATTTTTTCAACTTTTATTTTACGTTCATACTTATGATCATAAGTTAATATATGATAATGAAGATAAACATGAAACCGATATACAGAACCTCAAAATAAGTTTTTCAAGAGTTTATAATGATGATAATAATGCCCAATTCAAGGACCTTGTGGAAATTTTAAAAGTAATGATAAATATTGAATCATTCAACTTTCGTTTAAATTGTATCACATCGATTATTTCAAAATTAGACAATAAGGAAGAGTTTAAAGTTACAACAGAAGTACTGAAAACATTTCTTGCTGGCAAAATTAAAGAAAGTGAAATTTGTTTAAGATTAGCTCAATCGTTTAATATACATCTAATGACAGATATTGCTGATGGATTACTAAAATTATGTACTTGCAATTCAAATTTTAAATCCGCTAATGAGTACTCGAAAACTTTAAACCGAAATTTTGATATTGAGAGTGAATTAACTTCCAGTTTCAGTATTCCATATTATTTATCAGCAAAATTAGCTGATGATAAAAAATACAATAATAAAAGTAGTAATTATAACGAGAAAAATAATCAAATTGTAATGTCTATATTATTCAAAGTATTTAATTGTTCATCTGACAGCGACAAAAAAATGTTTTTGGAAAACAAAAATGAAATTAATAAAGAATTTGTTAAATTATTTGAATCAGTTAATCGATTAATCAAATTCTATGACAATGACAATGCCATTAACAAAGATCTTCGAAATAAATCTGTTAAATATATTCTGAACGGTTTCAGTAGAATACATGAAGAAAGTCTAACACACAGAAATGAATCTGCAAGAATAATTATTGATAATTTTATTAATTATAAATTAGAGCATATTACTTCAATAGTTGCGTCTAATTCTGATGGTGAAAGTAAGCGTGAAATGTTCGATACATTTGATACTGTCATGCAACGAAGAGCTAACGATACTTTACATGAATGGACTAAAAATACTAGTCAACTGGGTGATAAAGTCTATTTCTTATATTGTTATCATCAATATAAAGAAGAGAAATTTGATCAATGGTATAAAAATTTAAATAAAGATTCAAGCTTTGACAAGATTAAAAGTGAAAGACAATCAGTTAAAGATGAATTTAAATTAAACAGCGATGCATTTGATTTAATTAAGATTAAAAAACTACAACATAATCAAGTTGGTGCATTAGCGTTAATTTATCATTATCTTAAAAATTCATCAGAAAATCAAGAGAATTTATTTATTAAAATTGGTACTGGTCAAGGTAAATCATTAACAATAGCTGAAACAGCAAGAAAAATTCTTCAAACGAATAAACTTCATAATAGATTAAAACAGAAAATCTTTGTTATCACTTGCTATGTTAGCTAAACGAGATCATGAAAATTATCAAAAATATTACCGATATTTTGGCTTTAAATCGATGTACTGTTCATTGAAAAGTTCAACTAAAGATTTTTGTGATAATGATGTTATTTATTCAGATTTAGAAACATATTTGCATCTATTAAGAAACGAAGGATATAATACATTAATAAACGGAGTATCAATCCATTTACCAGATGTGAGTAATGCTGTATTAATTATGGATGAATTTGATAGTTTAATATTGGATTCCGATGAATTATGTCAATACATTTATTATTTTCCTGTAAATGTTCAAAATCACAATACACGTTTTGATACAAAAGAAGATATGGAACAATTATTTGAGAAGAAATTTATTAAAAAGTGCAAGACAAAATTTCCAGGTATCTTTGATAAATGGTGGAACGAACAAAAGGAAAAAGATGGAAATGAAAATAGAAAAACTTTCCAAAATAGTTTAGGAAAAGAGATTAATTATCCCAAGCCTTTTTTGAATCGTTTAAAAAACGAAAAGGAAGCTAGTTTTGTCCATTTCTATTTGGATGCTTTGACTTTTTACTCAAAATTTAAACAAGTGTTTGGCTTCTCTGGAAGTATAGCAGAAGATAATATGCCTAAATTTGAAAAATTATTTAGTGGTAAGTCATCAGTTTTTTATAAAATTCCACCATTCTTTGGAACAGACAAACTTACAGAAAACAGAACATTGGGAAACATCCCACAAGTGATAAAAAATCGCGACGACTTCTTGGAAGCAATAGGAAAAGAAATTAGACAAAGATATCAAGAACAACCAATATTAATATTTGCTGATTCATTTAAGAAGGAAAATGAAGAGAAATCTGATTATGATTACATACATGCTAAACTATTAGAAGCTAAAAACACATTCTTAAAGGATTGTACAATGATATCGATCAAATCAGAAGAGGATATTAATAAAAATATACACAAAATTGGTAAATTAGGTTCAATTACATTAGCAACCAGAATAATTGCACGTGGTGCTGATATTAAAGTGGATAAAAATGTGGAAAAAGGTTTACATTTACTTTTCACATATTATCCGGAAAAAGAAAATATTTATATACAAATGCTTGGTCGAACTGCAAGACAAGATGAAAAAGGTTCGTATTCTGAAATCGTACAAAAGGAGAAAATTTTTGTTAAAGTTCAAGAAGTCACAGTTAATTCAAAAAATAAAAAAATTCATGATGCTACCGAATATTTTTATCGAAACTTTCCTTCAAGTTCAACGAACACAACTCTTGCACTCAAATGGACTTTATTTTCAGCCTTGATGCAAACCTTAAGCAACAGCGAAATTGATAAAATAAATGATCTAGAGAAATTTATTAAAGAGGAATTTTTATGATTTATACTTTTCTAAATAAAAAAGAAAATAGTTTAATTTCTTCATGTATTCCACGGAAACCAACGGCCATGTATTCCACTGAAAACTAAAATATTTAAATTTGTCCCTAAAACTTCCAAAAAACTTATTAAAATCTGATTTCTGATTAAAATTATCGATTTCGAATTCAAATAAAATTGATAATTCTTCTAAAATTATCACTCCATCTTCATATGCATAATTGTTATCAAGTACATTTCTAATTTTATCTTTGATATTATCATCAAGTTCAATAGACAGTAGACTAATCTTTGGAGTATTACTTAATTCTTTATTGATTTCATTGTTTAAATACGTATGAATATCATTTATAAATTGTTTCTTATTTGAATTCAATGGTAATTCTTTGACTTTATTTAATAAATCATCTAAGATAGATTTTTGTTTTCCATTATCGACATTTGAAATATTTAATAATTTTTCGATGTTTAGATTTAAATAAGTTCTTTCTCTTTCTTTTTATTCACTGAATCGCTCGTTGAGATATTTGATCAAAATAAATCAATTATTTCTTCTATTGAATCATTTAAACTTTTCTTCATTTCTTCATATTTGTTTAATTCTTCTTTGTATTTCAAATTCAATGTTGTTCTAATTGCTTCAATTATGAACATTAAATAACCTTTTTTAATTAAATCAATTTTTTTGAATTTTTTTTATTTCAATTTCAATTTCTGTTCATATTTTGAAATCAAATTTAGCATTAGTCAAATAAGATTTTATTCATAATAGATTTATAGTTTCTGTTTCGATTGATGTGTTGTGATTTAAAATGATCTTTAATAAATTGAATATTGATTGATTGTCAATTCATTTCACTTGTTTTAACTTATCATTGAAACCATAAAATTCTTCTTTTATTTGACAGTCTTTTGAAAAATCGATATTTTCAATAAATTGTCTTGTTTTCAGTTTGACAATATTCAATTGATTTTTAAATATTTTAAGACAATGCAAGATGTTTGGATTAATACTTTGTTTAATTGTTCACAGCAATTGACAATATCCTGTAATTGTAATTTATTTGTTTCAAAAGTATTTTTTATTGCTAATATTGTATTAATCAATTCATTTCTTTCGAATCCAATAGATTCAATATTTTTTTCTTTTAAACTATTTGATAAATATTTAAAAGTTATATTTAATATACGGTTTTTACGTTTAACATTTAACATCAAGTTTGCAAAATCTGTTTCAACATTCGATGCTAAATATTGGTACTTTTCATACATTAATAAATCGAATTGATCGAATAGTTCAATTAATTCTTTATTCATTTCTTTTCCAATTAAGTTTTGATAAGATTCAGCTAATAAAATTAAAATTTCTGAATCAGTATTTAAAGTTTTTAGAATTATTCCAAAACTATTAAAATAATCTTTTAATGTTTTGATTGGAATATTTTTCACGTTTTTCCATATTCGATTTACAAATATTTCAATGAAGATTTTTTCATCAAATAAAACATTATTTTTATAAATTGAACCATTTTCTGTTTTAATAAGTGAATAAAGTTGTTCATAACCTTCTAATTTAATTTTATCTTCAATTAAATCCACTTCATTCCATTTATTCAATGATTCAAATATATCTCCATAATCATCTTTTTTTTAAGTAAAATAATCTATTTTATTCTCATGTAAACGTCGATATATTATTTTCATTTCATCTTCACTAATTTTACTTATAATTATTTCATTTTTAAACTCATTGGCTTTATTTAAAGCATTACTTGATAAAACTCTTGACGAACATTTCTCCAAAGTTGTATTGCTTGTTTTTAATTCATCCAAAGTTGTACTTATCTCAGCTTTATTTAATGGGTCTTCGATCTAGTCAAGTTATTAATATCAAACTTTGTTTTTGTCAATAATCCAAAAATATTTCATATTTTCGATGACTCAGAATATATTTTATCGATGTAATCAAATAACATTGAATAACCATTATCGATTAAATCTATGAAATATAATTGAAGGTTTTTACTAATCTTTGTATCAGTTGGTGTTCAGTTGATGAAATTTAGAACTTGTTTCATCTTTTCTTTGAAACTTTTTAAGATTTTATCTAAATAATATTCTTTCAAAATCTGATTGTTTTTTAATATAATTTCATATAAAATACTACTTCCCAGATCATCTTTGTGTTCGAATTTTTCAGTGATTTTTTCAATTTGAACGTTGTCTGAAGTATCAAATTCTTTTTTTGCTATTTTAATTAATAAATAATCAAATATCGACAAGCATTTGTAGAAAATAATTGATAAATCATCTTTGTTCTCTTTACATAACTTATCAATAAAATCATTTAAAAATATAAAGACAGTTGAATTAGTTAAATTCCACGTTTTGGACAACCTACACCGAAGAAATCAATTGAATAACGTTTCTGACTTAGATTCGAAAAATCAGCTGAAATCAACAAATCAACAAAGGGAAGACGAAAGGTCTATTAGAGATAGCAAAAGAACTGAATGAAACTGAGTCAAACATCCAGCAAAGATCAGCGTTCCCGATTTGCGGAATCTCATGTCTGCTCATCCTTCAGCATTTCAAACAGTGAGAAATTTTCTTCTTTCGAATATTTAAACTTGATTTTCTGTCCCTCCTAGGTATCACGTCTGGAAATCAAAGGTACCGCTCCCAGAGAATCGCCCTCTTTGACAGTCCAATATTCGTCTTTGTTCGACAAAAAGTGGTGGCTGATAAATTCTTCACGATGTTGTTTGACATCGGGGCGTTCATGGCCTTCAGAGTAGGGACGTTGACCATTCTCGGAAAATCTGGCTCCCCACCGCTTGAGATCCAAACGTACGGAGGCCACTGATCGAATGAGAGGAGAGCCGGGTTCTAGGATTAGAATTTTCACACAGCTTGAAGAAAGAAAAATAAGATTTATGCTCGCACAATACCTTTCTTAGTTTTTGTGAAGATATAGTACTCTTTGTCAATAAAGTTGGCAACGTCCATTGCTGTGAACGCTGCCGATTTCTCAGAACAACGTTTATGAGTATATTCGAGAGCGGTCTCTTCGAGCGTCGGATAATAGTCATAGAAGGCAGCATAATGCTTACCACCCCGCTTGTCACCCTCAAACGATTGGATCTCTTCTGCTAGAAATATTTCCGACCACTTGTGAGCGGTATTGATTGTATTACCACCTACAATAACTCAATTTTCATTGCGTCAAAAAATTAAACCGTTCGAAAGCTAACCTAGATTCTTCAAGAAAGTTTTGCACGTTCTCCAATCGATGCCCATACTTCGTAGACTCATGTAAACGAGAACCGACAGATATTTGACCGGACATTTGGCTCGACAAAGTTCGAATAAGTCAGCCAAATCATTTGACGAGAGTCTGGCGTTGAAATCCAGTTGTTCATCGTCTTCATTTTCATCAACGTCCATCTTCTCCAGAAAATCATCTTCTTCTTCTTTCTCGACCTCATCACTTTTATTCAAAAACGTCTTTCAAGTTTCTCTTGAGTGCGCTTGTCGTAGTGTTAGCTTAGGCATTTTGAAAAAGACGACTGACACTCGTTTACAAGACGATTTAATAACAGCACACAGTTCGCGAGAGCAAGCAAAAGAACAAGAAGAAACTGATGATCGTCGAGAAGCGTTGCTTAACACGTGCTCTCCAAGCAAGAACGAAAAGAGAAAAATCGGATTTTCGCAAAGCCGCACAAAGTGGGCTTACCTCAATATTGCTTAGACTTTAACAGGCTATCGACCGATGGACTTAGAATATATTTTGAGTTTTCTAGAAAATCAGGTTCTTGCCGTTTACTTTTAGACCAGTTAAAGTACCGGTGTATAAAATAT